TCGAAAAAACATGATTTTATTTCTAAAATAACAAAATGAACTCCCGGTAGAAAAATGTATCGCTAAAAGTTGCACATGAACGAATATTTCAAACAAATCGAGAAGAATTCGATCGATTCGAAGTGTATTCCAAGTGAACCGAACTGAGAGACGTTCAACGCAACATCGGTGGTTCCACGCGTATCAAATTTCATTCCACGAAACCAAAAAAATTCCACCGGAAATCGAATTTAATATGGCACGCGGTCAGACGGTTTTCTATCAAAAACACTCTTTTGCTTGAGATTTCATTCGATCGTCGCGATTTTTCTGTTCATAATCGATTCAACTGGAAATATTTGTTAAAATTCTCACTTATCTGTTTTTCCATTTTTTGTTATTCTGAGTTTATTTTCACGTCATTTCTGTATAAATCGCGGGTTTTCAGCCATTTCACAAAGAAACACTTTGAATTCACTCGAATGGAATTTTTATCTCGGCTCGTCAAAAATGTCATTCATCGTTTAAGAAAACTAGTAATTTTAAAAAAGCAAATCAAGAAGAAATTTCTTCCAAAAAGTGGATTTTATTTATAAAAAGATGAACTTGTATTTCTGGATAGAGAGAAATTATTTAGAAAATCGCGACAGCAGAGCAAGTGTTCAAAATGAACCTATTTCTTTCACTTCGATCCCACGAATGATGCGAAGAGTGTTCGCTCGGAGTTTGGTGTGAGTTCCTGATTGTACAATGTACATGTATTTTTAAGTCCGCGAATTTCCCCTCCGATCGCGTAACGATGACGAAGAGAAAAAAAAGGAATAGAACTGAATGTGGGGAAACAAACGGCGACACACACATATGTACTTTGACCATCGAAAAGGGTTACCGCTTTTGTTTTCGAAATATTTGTTCTTTCCGAATCGATTCAACATGTTTCGAAATTTCGAAAAATCGGAACACATTTGAACATGAATGAAATGCTATAGTGCTGGAGCACCAAGTAAATTCATTCGATTTAATTTTATTATGGAATACTTCTTGACAATTTTAGATCATTTTGACGGACACAGAAATCCTTCAATTCCATTTAAAGAAATGCGAATATTTTCCTGAATCTTTCTTATTTTTGACAAGTTTCAATGCTATGCAAATGTTAGTCTGAATGTTATTTAGACGTTGAAAAAGGTCCTACTGGATTTACGTGATTAATAATGTCCAACTCCAAATATCATATTTATTCAGGAAAGAAATTTAACAAAAATTCATCCGAAAAAATGTGTTATGTTTCTGAACCAAGTGTTCTGTTTAATTGTGTTTTCGTTTTATTTCTGTCTTTCGTGTCTATTCAATGTCTACAGATCTTTCAAAATGGGTTTGAACATTTATTTTCTATGAATAATCATTTCCGATTGCATTCTTTTATTCTGGAAAATATAGAGCGAAAAAGAAATATCTTTTGGGATCCACGAAATATTTCACCAAGCGAACTTTATTTGGACTGACTGACTTCATGAGATTTGGCTCTTCTAAATTTTGCGTAGAATATTTTTTCATTGAATTGTGGAATAGCCAAATTTCAAAATGAATGATTCCTTTGAAACAACCCAACTTATTTACTGATGGTTTTGCTACATTTATTTCGTTTTCCATTTGAGTTTACTCACCATTCAACCCAATCCATTTGCGCAAAATTGAATGAATTTCAATTAGGTTGGGTCCAAAACCCATAACTTGAGTAAAAGCGATTGCGATGCAGCAGCAAAAATCTCCACACACAAAATTCTTTCTCCGAAATGCACAGACAAATGCATTGGCGGTCGCCCAGACGCGATTTTATGAAGAAAATTTATCGTCTCTTGAAGTTTTATCACCGATCGGTTTTTTTCTTGAAAAAATTATTTTCCGCTGATGCAAATGAATATCATCGACGAAATTAGTCCGACTGCATATGAAATCAAACACAGTTCACTTTGTTAAGATTATGATGTCAGCTCCAAAATGATTCTCACATATTTATTGTGAAAAATGCTACTGAAATATCACTTGAACTTTAATGCATTGAAAAAGGATTTTGGAAATGCATTTTTGTTCCGAAAACGTAGAATGGTAATTTTTGAAGAACAAAAATGGCAGCGGAAAATTTTGGAATGAAAAAATGAATCGATCAAATCGAGAGAAACTTCACGAATGACATGGAGACTGCTTTGAGAAGTTGCTGTTGCTAGTGTGCAACATAGAACGTTGAAAAATGGCCGAATCGCGATCGTATTCGCTCGTGAGAGCCGAACCGATTACATGTGAATGTATGCGTCGTCTTCCCTGACATCGTTATGTCGTTTCCCCTGCGAATGTTACTAAGCAGAACGAAGAGAAAGGAATGCGTGGAGCTTTGAACATGACATCATCGCGAACACGAAACGAGGCGAACGGCTAGAATAAGATGGAATAAAAATATGAACGCCATATTGAATGTTCACGAAATTTCTCCCTTTCAATGGCTTGATCTCGCTGTGATATCACGCACACACGCCGCTATGAATCAGAGCCGCCATTCACTTTTCGAACAGTATTGCCGCTTCTAATTTAATACGCATTAATGCAATCATTTCTGAATCAATTTTTTCGAAGTTTATGAAGTCAACATATTTTCTTGAAATGAATGAAATTCCAAACAAATTATTATTATGAAAACAAAGAATGTTTGTATATTAAACACGATATTTTTGTTAGCACAAAATATTTTCTCTCAGAATTCGTTCCATCAAAACATACCACTTTTCTCCGCTTGATTTCCATTCAATTCGTTCGAGAAGTAACACACATTTTTGTTGCGTTCACAAAATTCAATCGAATGAAAAAGAGAAAACTCTGGTGTTTTCGAATATTCTCACCGACACTTGACCAATCGTTTCATTCGCCAAAATCTCACTACAACCAAAATTTCACGAGGAAAATTGAAATGCTGATAAAATGCAGTTAAATATAGCGTCGCCGTGTCAACACATTAATTCGAAAATATTTTTTGAACTAAAGTCAATCCATTCTTCTTTCAGTGACCAGTACCATTCAAAATAGTGTTCGAATTTTCCAGAGGAATTTCCAATTGTCTCAATGCCACATGGAAAAAGAGCTAAACAAATCTGGTAAGAAAGTAATTGACTGATTTATTTGGACAATTTTCTTTCGATTTTGTTCTTACGTTTTTTGCATTTTGCTTCCCTCTTAATTATCTATTTAAAATCTATTTTAAGCTATCTCGTCTTAAAAATTGGCAAAAATGCTAAACTATTTTTACGAATATTTCGTTTGAAAAATAATATTTCGAACTGAGGCAACACATTACACTTTGCGCGTTTTACTTCACTGTATTCGTGAACAACACTTGGAAGGACGTTGAATATTGAGTTAGCTACAGAAGTAAGGTTGTATCACAAATTGTGTCACTCACACAACTTGTGTGTAGCCGAAAAAATGTTCCTATGAAAGTGTTGGTGGGCGGCTTAATATGAATATTCGCCGCGAAGCGTGTTCATTGGGCAATGTGCAGCCACGCGAACGGCGCATAAGCATGATAGTCTATGTGTGTGGTCCTAAACAAAGTAGAGTAAAATACAAGCATAGAAGTTCGGTTGATTCATCTCAGGTTCGTCATTTCAGCGGAGAAATTTGGAACGGCATTGTGCAGAGTAGCTGGCGGTCAGCCACGCAAAATATCTCAATAAGAACAACAAAAATCTGCACGACAGCCATATTGCATTATTCAACATGTATGGAAACGAAATAGCAAGACATGTTATAGACTCTCACAGGCTTTCATCGAACGAATAATTTCTCAATGAGAAATTTTCATTCCATAACATATGAATAAAATTTCATCTTTTCAATAATGTTTTGATCCATTTTTCTGTGATTTACTTCTATTTGAATTTTATTTGTTCATCACATTCAATGGCAACATACATTTGGAATATGAACGTGAAAAACTTACGTCACGTTTACGTACAATTTTCGAAGTGACTATTAACACATCTTGAATTGTCTAAATCGATGTTTCTGTGAACATTTTGTGCATTTTACTTAAAAAAACAAGAATGACATTTGTTTTCTCACGTTCAAGCTGATGAAATATATGAAATTACAAAATATATTGGGCATCAGGATGTCTCCTGAAAAGGAATTTAGCGTTTTGCTTGCAAACCAATTTTTGTAACGTTTTTGTACAGAATAAGTACTACGTTTTTGGAAATAAAATTTATTGATGACATTTTCGATATCAGAGGCTCAAATTAATCATTTGATATTATTAATCGCTTCTTTGAACATGGACTTTTTGCTTAGCAACTGAAAAGTGTCGATGGATCTTAAAACGCCGAAAGGTATGCAACATTTGAGACATTCACGACTATATAGCTTACGGTTCGTACCATACAAAAAGATTTCTCCTTACTCGCAAAATGCCAAAAAAATAACAAATGACGAAAAATAATTATAAAACGATGGATCATGGTGAAAAAAAAGAAAAAGGCAATATATATTAGACATTTTTTAAGAGAAATCATTTTGAAGTGATATGAATTTGCTATAGAATCTACCGGTTCCCTTTGCCATGGTGTTTCTATCACCGAATTATCCTTTTCTTAGTTGAATTTCATTCAACATTTCATTGAATACCATAATGGTATAAGAGACCTAAAAAAATTTGAAGACGCTAAATCGTTCTTATTTATGCCTCTAAAAATGCACAGTTTTAATCACCAACATCTTCAAATGAGGGAGATACATTCGAAAGTCGATTCCTATTAGCTTTTTGGTTAGACTAAGAATATCCACTAAACCAGCACACATGGATAGAATATCGCCATAAAATGTTGACACAAACTGTTTCGCGCTAATTCATACATGATAGCAACCAGTTGATATGTGTAACAGGGTTCGCATTGGTAACCATGGAGAATACAATTGTTTGTAAATATATTGATTTAGATAGTTCCACACAATTGATAGGAAATATAGTTGAAAATGGCTCATCATGATTTAAAGAAAGGCACAGCCTATTTATACGGAAGGTGAATTAAATGTTAAAAACCAAAAATAAACAACTGTTACAATCAAAGTTTCATTATTTAATCAATTCATATTCTGTAGAGTTGTGCCGCATCTGATAAATGAACGAGTGAAAATTGCATATTGTACTGACATGGACAAGTCAGTGTTGATTAGTAATTTTGAAAAACGAAGTTGGCAATCTGTGAGTGCCGAAGACGAATGGAATTTCTATTGGGCCAGCACAACAACTTGTCGAAATATTTTCAGCGTTGAAAGTGGCTACCGCATGCAAGATAATCAGTAAAGAAAACAAAAATGGTAAAAAAATTGGAACAATTGGGAAATTAATTGTGTGGTTTTGATTCACCTTTTTTAAGGATTATAAATCACTTTCCAAACCACTATGAACTGTCAAGGAAGGATCTATTGGTGAAAAATATCAAACGCTATCGTAAAGATTTAGAAAGAGACAGTAGTGCATTGGCTGAAAAGATCGATACTGGTGTTGCTGGATTGAAGTATCTTTACTTGGACTTTATACCAACTACATTTGTTCTACCTGCTGGTACATAAACATTTACACGTGGTATAATATCCTCTTTCTTGTACGAATTTCCAAATTCTCTTTCAGATTATAACATGTTTGTTGAGGAATACAGAAAAAATCCACAAACAACGTGGATAATGAAACCGTGTGGGAAGTCACAGGGAGCTGGTATTTTTTTGATTAATAAATTATCGAAATTGAAAAAATGGTCACGTGAAGCTCGGAGTAATGCATTCAATCCACAAATCACGTCTGGAAAAGAAAGTTACGTCATTTCAAGATATATTGACAACCCGCTATTGATTGGAGGCAAAAAGTTCGACTTGCGATTATACGTGCTTGTAACATCGTTTCGTCCACTCAAAGCCTATTTGTTTAAATTGGGGTTTTGCCGTTTTTGTACGGTGAAATATGATACGAGCGTTACAGAGCTAGATAATATGTACGTTCACTTAACCAATGTTAGCGTCCAAAAACATGGGGTAAGTTTTTTTTAGAAAAACCCATATTCTAATCGGAAATAATTAAAATTTTGACTTTTTTCTCTAGGGCGAGTACAACACATTACATGGTGGTAAATGGTCTGTACAAAATTTGAAATTGTTTCTTGAAGGCACACGCGGTAAAGAAGTCACTGATAAATTGTTCGGGAACATTTCGTGGTTAATTGTTCATTCATTACGTGCTGTGGCGCCGGTAATGGTTGCGGATCGACATTGTTTTGAATGCTATGGCTACGACATAATCATTGATAATACGCTCAAGCCATGGCTTGTGGAAGTAAACGCATCACCGTCTTTGACATCAACTACGGTTAACGATCGAATTCTCAAATATAAACTGATCGATAATATTTTATCGATTGTTCTACCGAAAAGTGGACTACCAGATGTTCGCTGGAACAAAGTACCAGACGCAGATTCATTGGGTAATTTTGAATTGCTTCTAGATGAGGAATTGACAGCACATGAAGAAAGCGGCCAAAATCAACAACGGGAAAGAAATATCAGACAAACGACTGGCAGCAATCGTTGGAAATAATTTCAGACATTAGAAGTTCAATAAAGATATTAAGATAAGTTGACCTGTTTTATTTTTTATTCTATTTACCAAAAAATGGCTTTCGTACATTGCTTTAGTCCGACACCGTGTCCGAATATTTCTTCAAATTTAACTTCGCGATACTTTAAATGATTACTTCATGTAATATGGTCCCAATTTTGTTTCATTTTTGATTTCGGCACAAGAATATTGGGGGTCCTTAGAAACAATGGATCGTGAGTAAACCTCAAATGCACAGTGTCGCCGGCAAATGCGACAAATATGGAACTGGAGATAATGAACGCCATACAATCGCAACACAAACCATCAAAGAAATTGATTTAATTATTATCTCTATAGTTTTCCTAACATATTTCGATTTTTTCAGAAGAAGTGTTTTTAACAAAAATCGATTTTGAAATTTCGAGGTTTTGGAATTGAATTTTGTTCAATTTTTCATGAAGAATTTTATGGTGGTTTCAGTTTTCATTTATGATGAGTCGTTTTGAAAAATTTGCCAGGTTAATAACGAAAATATGTTATTAACTAGCATTTTTGGGTTAATTTTTCAAAATGCTCAATCGAAGCTTCAACAAAATTCTTCGTGAGAAACTAAACAAAATCCGAATTTAAAACCCCAGATTTTCAAAATCGAATTTTGTTGAAAAACACTTTTTCTGAAAAAAATCGAAATATGTTGGGAAAACTATAAGTATCTCTCAGTTTTGATTTGAAAACCTGACAAAAGAAACAGCTTTGAGTAGCTTGTATTGTTAGTAATTGTATCTGAAATTGTCTTTAGTTCTGTATTGACATGGATGAAAGACCATTCTCTTTAACTGGTTTTCAACGATTTGCACGTACAAGCGAGCCTCAATTGTTTCAATCCCTGATAATGGAAACTATACATACAAATTGGTCAAAACTGTAAAGACTCAGCATCAAAAAATGGTCGAAACAATCGCGGCTCACCTGTATTGAATGATTGGTATATATATATACTCATCTAAGATGTATGAGTCACGAATCGCGTTGGGAAGTGCCCAGTGGTGACGATTTAACCATTTCATGGAAAGCTACAATGCAATTCTATTTCTTTGTGTTTCATTTAAACAGCGTGAGAAAATTTATCTTTTTTTCTTCGGCTATTCTTTATTCTTTATTGATAAATGGCAATCGGGATATATAAAATCCAATGGAACCACTTACAAAATGTAATTAAAATCATTTTTGAAGATGTTTTTAACATAATGGTCATTGCTCATTTGGTTTGGGATTCTGCTGAAATTGTATGTGTTTGAATGATGATATTCGAAATGATTAAAATTCCTACAATTAAAACAATTAAAACATTCTATTCGCTTTTTGTATTTTCATCAGTATTTTTTTAATTTCATGCTGCTCCTAAGTTAAATGTCTTTAAAAACGGTTCATAGAAAATCAAAAGCATTTTTTATTTCAATTTTCAATCAGTTAGCTGAATTACATACATCAGGAAACTGTAAATCATTTTTGAAAACTGGAAAATACTATGATCATTATTAAAAATTTGTATTAACCCATTAACGCCCGGGTTAACATCTTTGAATTAGGCTTTTTATAATTTTTGCCCAAATGAATTTACATAAGTTGTCTTTGCATAGTTCAGTTCTGAAAGGGGTCTCATTCTGATTTTTGCTCCATATTGCATGCGACCTAACACTAGTACCAACATCTTATGTTTTTGGATTGGCAGCAAATATGTAGAAAATTGATTCAAGGCATCTACTACGGTGTTATTCTACGAGGAAATGTCTGAATTAAATTGAAAAAATTCAATCTAGGGGAATATCACGCTTAAATTATTTTAAATATTGCAAAAAAATCCAATTTATCTCTAAGAATCTGTCGTATGAAATATGGTGGATATTTGTGAATACGGCGGAATATTGTGGATTTTTGTGATTATGAATGATATTTAAATGTATTTATTCGGATTTAATGCAAAAAATCTCAAAGATATAAGACCCAAAATCCACAAAAATCTGATTTATTTATTCGAAATATTCGAAAATATGTCATACAATTGATGTTTATTTCAAATATCTCAAATATCTCACAAGATTCAGGAGCGTGATATTCCTCTAGAATTCAATTTCAATTCAATTCATATATTACTGCATCAGCCACTTTTACGCCAATGCCGCACAAGATTAGAAGTTGTATATAGGCACAAGCGGCCGATCCAGGTCCAGCACCCCAATCATCCTTAATTGAATGATGTTAAAAATAAGAATCCAACTCTAATTATGATATTTCAAACAAATGCAAACCTTTAGATACAGAAAAATCGAAGCTGAAATCGTGTAACACAACAGTCCGGGCTGCATAAAAAATTTCCAATAGTATAAATTGGTGAGATGATTAGATCGTAGTTATCCAGGATAAACATGTTATAAAATGGCACACAATACATTAGAAACAATGAAATTAAAATGAGAAGGACAATTTTGATTGAATCAATGAGTAGATCGACAGTTTTTTCATCACAAACTTTATTAGTTTTCAGTGTGAAGTCGTTAATATTGTAGATAAAATCGCCAGCAAAATTGTAAATGCGATAGAATTGTATTCGAGTGGATGGTATCAATATAAGGCCATTCACGATTAAGCTCTATAATAAATGATGGTTATTTTTTTATATTTCAAGATAAATTGATTTGTTATTATTAAAAAAATAAAATTCAAGCTGATAGCTCACCGGTATTACAAGACCGAGCAATGATGTGGATTGCATCGCTATTAGGGGCTCATCTCGGTAATAGTACATCGTATAGAACATGAGAACGATGTAATTTGTTGCAAGAAAACCTGGAATTGCACTCTTCAGCGTCAACATAAAATGTGGACCCATAAAGTCACAACCGATATAACTTAATATAAATATATCACCACTTCGAACGAATTGCCATTTTTGTCGCGGCGTTTCGGATAAATAATCATTTTTGAGATATTGAAATTTATTGAAAAGTAGTTTAAACACATTCACATTCATGTGTTACGAGTTGCGAAACTTTCGTGGTTTTCTGTAAAGAATTTCTAACAACTGAACGTCTCGTACCGTTTGGCGTGCTCAAAAGCTTTATCGTTGCACTATTTCATGCCCATTTCAAAATTTTCCCATCGGATATTGATTAGTTAAACTAGGAATTGTTGTTTGTGACCTCTAAATTTATTTCAACAATTTTCTTAAAGTTTTCACAGGCGTTTTGGAAAATAAATCGAAAATATCCCAATTTAATTTTGATGTTTTGCATGTTTGTAGACAATTTTATAGGGGTTAGACACATGGAAATGGACTTCAATGTTTTCCAATGTCATTGTTGTTGTTCTTGTCGTCCATTTCGTGCGAATCTTCTGTGTATTCTTTTGTTTGTGGGATTCGACGGTCAGTGGAACAGCAGGTTTATCGTGTTTAGTGTTTAGATTCCTAGTTAACAGTTTTGTTTTCTTTCCCCCTCGACTATTTTATCAATTGAAAATAATAAACTGACTCTATTACTAATTGAAGGCCATTTTTTCATATTTTCGAAGGAATGTATTCACATACATTCATTATTCTAAAACAAACAAACTCTTTACAAAACAAACAGGAACACGCGAAGAGAAAACTACTGTTCTGCCATGTCATTTACAGCAATTCTTTTTATGCATTTTTAATGAATCACCGCTGAAGGAATCCGGTTGATGCGAGTAAAAAGAGTGAAATGCTATCGGCTTCGTTACCCAAAATGACACATATTTCAAAATTGCCTAAAAACATAATCGGAATTTCAAAACTCATTCTATCTAGTGTAAAATGCTCTTTGGGAAAGTGAAAAAAAAACTTTTTTAAGAAACAAATTTCATGTTACGCTCAAAAGGTACGCACAGTACATAAGAGCCAATGCAAAAGTCAATTGATGCGCATAAGTAGCGCCACCTCTAATGATTACGGAGAGTTACCATAAGTCGTATGCAATTGATGTTGAGAAAAAGAAGAAGAAGAAGTAGACATTCTATTCATTTATATGGCAATAATGACAATCAGTAGAGATGGTGCTCATGTGCCGATCATATCACTGTTCCAACCCTTCGTTTACGCTTCAGTGCAAACACTTCTGGTATTCTCAGCGACACATATGATTTGTTTAACAAGTTGAGATTTTCTTCAGGTATGTGACCTATACAGGTTGATACCAATAACTTTCAGAAATATATAAAGAGTCTAATGTATCATGAATCGTAATTTATGATTAATCAATAATTAATGGTTAACAATTCAACCGAAATGTAAAAGAGAAACAAAGTCATAATTCAATTATCAAATGAAAAATTCATGACATCCAAAGTTGCTTATTAGCTATTAGACTCTACAGATTGAAACAATATCGTTTTTAATTTAGCCGTATAAAGTAAGTCATACACACACACACACAAACACACACATCTTTCCCTTCACACACTTTTCTCACACATTCTTTCATTGGAATTGATTCACCTTTGATGAACACAAATTATGCAAATTTCGAGAAGAAAGAGAAAAGAGGTGAAGCATTGGGTTTGGTAACATAATCTTCATAAAAAAAACGTAACGGATATCATATAGTTTAGCAAAGATCACATTGGCATTTGTCTATTGTTGGACGATGAACAGTTTGGCCTGCATCACAGAATTACGACCAAATGATGTACATTCAATTGCTCAAACTTGATGAATTTCATTTCAATCGGCACTTTTTGCACGTATTAAATAATATGGAAGAGTGCTGCATGCATTTTGTGTGTATGTGTGGATGTGCTGAAGTACACATAAATGCATGAATCGTCATAAATTCACTTTTCGATTATGGAAAAATGCCATGCTTGCGCCTTGTAACCGTTGGAGCATGCACGGACCGCGCAGAGTTGTGTGTGTGCCGACCCAATAGCACACTTCATATACTTCTCGTCTTTGGAGACGATAGTTGTCTTGGTGCGACACATATGATTTTGATTACTCTCTCCCTCTCTCTCTCTTTCTCTTCCATTCATCTTTCGCATCGCGTTTTATCTTGCAAATTTTAATTCTGAGAGACGCGAGTTGGATTGTCTGTGAGGTGAGTGATTCAACTGTGAGTCTCTATGTGTGTTTGTGTTATGGTAAATGAGAGGCCGGATAGTGAGGTATTGTTTCGTTTGTTTGATACTCAAAACAATTGGTAAACAGTCGGTTTTGATCACTGCTACGGTACAGTTGAAACGGTTATTTTATTGGACGCTTCGTTTGTTTTGTTCACAATGAGCGTAAGCGGTTGCTACTGAAGTTGTGTCCGAGATCTATTTGGAATTGTATCACGTATTTCACCAATTATCTCATTTGATTTCCTATATTAAGATAGTAACAAAACATTCGCGCACGCACATGCTTGCAATTTTCTGTTGTATATTTTTTGCCGTTTCTTCCTATGAATGGTTGCATCTTCGGTTTTATTCATTGTTTACTCACGTATGACTCGTGCAATTTACGCCTATCTGAAGTAGATTCCTGATTAGATAAAATAGTTTCTCTAAAAATATCGAAAGTGAATGATATGAATTTCAGTCGATTTCAAATTAGTTACACTTTATCGGAGTAGAGATCGTGTTTAGAAGGTTAATTAAAATGTAATAAGCTGAATTGTCGGCATGACGGAAAAAATCAAAGAGCTAATCAGAGTTTAAAATGCGATTAAAGAGTGTCGCATTTAAAAATAAGTGAATTGAGCAAATATTCACATTGTCTTTGTATGTATCGAAGACAAAAGAGAAAAAAAACAAAAGTGACTTTTAACAATCCGGTGATTAATTGATTTAATGCATCAGCTAGAACTAATTACAATGTGTTTATTAAATGAAAAGTCATTAAAGATGAAATAACGGTAAATCAACTGCTATATGACAGTCGACACTGATAAAAAATAGAAACACACCGGGCTGTGATTGCAATAATAGTTCAGTTAAAATTCGATTAATGTCGGCTCGAGTTAATTTGAAGTGAACTGTAATCATTATCAATGAAACGTAGAAAACTTATTATCGAATCAATGAAAAGTTTTTATTGAAAACTAATGAAAGTGATGTTCGTTTACGTAAAAACCAACGATAAACTACCTCCATTGATGACAGAAATACCACATTGATTAGTGAATGTGAAATTATTCGAAAGAAAGAGATAAGCCGCAGCAAAAAGAAGAAAAAAACGCGAAATCGATAGAAAACATTAGCATTTTTGCGGAGAAAAGAGATTTAATACGTGTAAATTTGCCGACTAGGAATAATTTATCGATAGTTTGATTTCCGTGACACAAGCATGGTGATTCAATTTTTGGCTTCGGCCAGTGCAAGCGCTGCTAAAGCTGCTATTCCAGCTGTTGCTGGGGCCGCTTCGACGGTAGTCACCTCGGCTGTGAAATCAGCCGCATCGAGTGTAGTCGCAGGGGCGGGAAAAGCCCTTGTTTCGGGTGTTGCATCAAAGGTAAGGCTCTTCTCATCATAATTAAATCATTTCTGAGCCATAGAATCCAAATTACTTGATGTGAGTCTTTATTAATCATACATCAATCCATGTCATAGGTGGTTCCGGCCGTCTTGGGAACTTCGGGAAAAATTATTTCAGCGAAGGCAGCTGCTGTTACCGGAATAGGATCAACTCTATTGAAAGCAACACCAATTGTTGCGCCAGTTGTTATTGGTGCCGGAAAACTTACGGCAACCGTTGCAATCGCTCTGAAAGCAGCCACAGCCATCATTGGAGTTGGAAAGATTTCCATTTTGCCGGTTTTAATTGCTTCTCTTGTCTACTACAACTATGACTTTTTCGATCCCGAAAATCGACCATTCAATATGAAACAAATCGATCCGGACTACGACTTCGTCATAGTAGGCGGAGGGTCAGCCGGATCAGTGCTGGCGAATCGATTGAGTGAGATCAGCAGCTGGAAAGTGTTACTACTTGAGGCCGGCGGGCATGAAACGGAAATATCTGATGTGCCGATTCTGTCGCTTTACTTGCATAAGAGCAAATTGGATTGGAAATATAGGTAAAAATATGGCATTTTGTAACGCTTTATTTTTTCTATTTCCATGGGTGAGATTGAGGTGACGGTAGATTTGTTCAGCTCAAACGCATTCTTGTCTTTGCCTCATTGTGAATAATATGTTTTATCATTTTTTTTTCTGTTCCATTTATCATCGCCACCATTCACATATTTATCTCACATAAATGACCATCTCAACCGGAGTGATGAAATTCACTGAAAAACCAAAATTATAATATTCGGTGCTTTTATTTTGATTCATTAAAAATGCCATAGGTTTGATAGTAAAATTTCATCAAAACCAAACGGATGATTTCGATTGGTTTGAAATGGAATCAAAATATTTGGGCGCTTCTTTCTATTTATTCGGTCAAACATTTTCGGTCCATCCAAATCGACCATGACCATTTTACTGTGTTAGAAACACATAATCCGATGCACTCATTCTTCTGGTCACCGCGTTTAATGCCATCACCCTCGAGCACATTTTTGGACTTTTTTAAAAACATTTTCCCTTTTTTTAAACTATTTATTAGTGACTAGTGCAACAATTAACTATTTTGGCACATTTTGACTATATTCTGTACTTACTCTGACTGGAATTTGAGTCATAGTTAAAAGATTTAACTGACTAAATCGGCCAACTTGATTTAATTTATTCAAATTTAATTGAAATCGACTGGAATCGATTGAAAATTCATTTGGAATTCCAGTCATAATACGCATAGAAATCCGGTAAATATTTTTTTCACAAGGGCGGCGCACACATTTTACTACTACGATGCAGGTTAGAAGTTACAAAGAAAGCGATCTTAAATGCAAACTCGTTGATAATTTGGTTCTAATATGAATGTGAGATATTCGAACAAAATTATCGACGAATATGCGTATAAGATCACAAATTTTTATAACAATAGATAAAAAATGAGAAAGAAATATGTGAATCTCTTTTACAATTCGAAATGAGATAATCCCGAGCGGAAATAGCAAAATCATACATACATATTACGATATACAGCGACAACAACAGAGTGTTCAACAACGTAAGCCGGTGTTTTTACTTTTCTTGTTCGCGGCTGAGATTGCCACAGCAAGTTTACTATTACCGGAACATTTCGACTTTGTTTCATCACACTGGTTTTATGGTACCATCGAGAGCTCGATAGATAGAGAAAGAAAGAAGTATGGCAACGTATCGGTTGAAAAAACATAAGCCACCACAGTAGAAGCCATTTTTATTGTTTGTGCGACAAAAAATAAGACATTGCAAATTATGCGCAATGATTGGGGACATTTGCAGCCATACGAAATGGTGCATCGATTTTTGTTGTCGCTTTTCTTTTGTGTTGGCAATAATTTTTTTGCCATTCATTTTGTGTGCAACAACAGAACACGAAGTGCCGACACGTTGGAGACCAACAAATACACCATCAATTTTCGTTTGCCAAATGAATGTTCCAATTTCTTCGAAACTTTTCATTCTAATTAAATAATGACTAATGTGACGGATGCAAGTTCCTTGAAAAAAAGTATTTGTTTACTCTTTCATTTGCTTCAAAAACAACGAATAACACAATTTCGGAGGGTTACTTTCATTGATTTAGATCTATGGGTTATTCACTATCGCGTGAAATATCGCCTTTCGAAACATTCGGTTCATATCAAATGGAAATGTGCCCTAAATGGATCGGAACCGATGGCCAAGTGTTTTGCTCACAATTTGAACCACTGCCAACACACATCTATTATGTATTATTACGTTGTTTTTTTCTTATTATCTCTTTCAAACGAGTAGCGTCTACAAACAACCAGTTCGTTCAGTCGAGGTGAATGTTTGCAGATTCATTTTAGTCGATTATTCAATGCGATCGAATGAACTGGTTTCAAGGCTGCTTTTCATATCTATGCTATCAAAAAACACTGCCACAATGGACGCATCAATTAGAAAAACTCTATCCAAATCACCTATATTTTTCAAATGTTACTGTTTTCCTTGATACAAATTCAAGCGATCACTTTCATTTGCTGGTTTAATGATGAATGACATATTTTCGAGGTTTAAAACTCGTTAGATTACTTATTTCGGCGAAATTATGTAATTCGATTTGTTGCTTTTAATTTGATTTTCGCATCGTGATAACAAAGAAAAAGTGTCTTATACTCGAAACAAAAATAACAGATGATATGAAAGTAAAATCCCGTCGATGCCTATTTTTTGATACATCGATGAAAGAAAAAAAAAACGCGTCACATTTTCAGAATTAAGAGATTCAACAAAATGACATCGTTCATCAATTTATTATCGATATCTAATCAATAATTCACATTTATTTTACATTATTTGCATAAATGCATATGCTCATTGACTATACAACACCTTCACGTTTAACGTGTTTGCATTTCATGCCAAATTGATCAGTAACCGGTTGATGTAATAACACACATTTGTTGGATGCGCAGATAAAGTGTGAAATGTTACGAGAAACAAATACTTTCTTTTAGCTCAATTGCTCAAATTATGATTTAATAGCCTGTCATTTGAAACATTCACATTGAGCGAATTAGTGATAAGATCAAAGGTTGCAGCATTAATATTGCATAATTTGATTTGCAGTTTTCATAGAACATTTCACATTTTTCCCTTTTGTATCCGTAATGTTCTTCATTCTTTTTAGTTTTTGGTTGCGATCATTTACGAACATTTACTTTTTGCTGATTGGTTTCGAGAGGATAAGAATTGTACATAGAAAAACTAAGCTAAACTCGCATAAAGTTTCGTTACATCATTGATTGCGATCATTAATCGTTAGATCAGTTTGGGTCACCCATAATAAGTGTCACTTTATCCTCTAGCTCTGATGAACAATTCAATTGTACACGCAAACAGTCCCAAAATTCACGTGGATCGGATTAAGATTTTGTAGTTCAAATCCTCTTTCCCAACCATAAAAGCGGATAAAAGTGTATGACCATGCTAAAATTTTTATGAAATAATCTCGGAATTTTCAAAGCCGCCACTTATTTCTTCGCATAAATAAGTAACACAATTTTTGGCTGTAAATTGGAAATCGCCTCTTTTTACAAAGTTTGAAAAGAATTACTCTTGGTTTTATTGACCAAATGTATATTTTAATTACATTTATTTTGCGTCATCGTTTCAAAACCATTAAAATTACCCGAAAAAATGCATTTGCTGGTTTGTGATTCGGCAGATTGGTGTTTGATTGGTGACAAACCACACGCAAGCCACAAAAATTGTGTAATTTTGTGATATCCAATGCGTTTTGTGAAACCTTTTCTCAGTTAGTAGCGTCAAATATATTATAAAATTAGATAACTGAAATTGTAATGACGAAATGACTCTTTACTTGGAGAAAAAAATCCATTCTGTCGCGATGACAGCGATCGGTCATGGTATTAAATCTGGTATATTTTGGATGAATGTTTATGATGACCGCGACGCGATAGGTGATACAGTTCAAAGCACAGTAAAAGAGGAAATTCAAAGAAGTGGAAAATTTAAAACAAGCGCACTTGGCAATTTGACCCGAAGAAAGAACTAAAGAAAAATCAGAGATTTTGAGTAAAAATGCCAATGTGTTTAAGTGTACGATTGACATTCAATCTTAGTGAAAACAAACCAATTTCCAGAACAAAACAACAGTCATATACCAAAAGAAATAGGCTCAAGGTCAAATCGAGATAATTGTGTGGTTTCTTGTGGATGAAAACCACAAAACTACTTTTTTCCCATACTATTAACGCTATGGCTACGCTACTGCTACTGCTACTGTACAGTAGGTTACTGTAACAGTACGACATTTTTATCAGCTTTGATCTATCATTTTTATACGGCTGCATACGAAGTGACCAGTGTTCACATCCATTTCGTGTTATATTATTTTGCTTCAAGTTGTCATGCTTTACGTGATTATTCTGAGGTAATAAATGACCGTAAAACTCGTAACATAAAATATGTGTAAAATGACATTCACGCATTTTGGACAAAACAAAAACAAAGAATCGATTGCAGATTAATTAGAAGCCGAAGTCATGCATTGCCCGAAGCTGCTTTGGCGTAGCTGCTTTTGCGAAGCATTCATTCCTCTCGACTATCTTCAGAATAGCAATCAATTGAAGTGTTATGCAGATGCTTAAAAAATCAAATTTTTCATCTTGAATTTAAATTATGCGTGACATTGCTGTTTCTTCATGTTCGGATTCGGTCGAGACACGCACACCAAATTATGTTATAATTCGTTTCATGCAACCGGAATAATTAATGACGGTGACAGCGCGTAAGTGAAAATAGTAACGCCTTTCATCGTTTGCCGAAAATTCATAGGGAAGAACAAAAAATTCGTATGAAATTTGATGCGCTCGGATGCACTCAACAAATTAAGTAATGTTCCAAAAACAATTATCATACATCCGATGGGAACTAAACAGTTTGGTTTATATAACCAACTCAATTAATTTTTCAAAGCTCAACGCTTTTTTGTTGATTTGATGGCTTATAAAATACTCTGATTAAATTATATAATAAGCCTTTAAATAGATAGTAATAAATTCAATCTCTGTTTTGATATCTGGCGTGTGGCTCTAAACATTAATCTTGAAATTGTTGTGGCGTGGGCTTAATTTCTCTTTTCATCCTAAAATTATTCAAACCAAAACTATGGTTGAGCGACTCTTTTGGGTTTTGGGATTGACTTTTTTCATTTGTGTTTTGCATTAGTCTCTTCATTTACAGCAAGCAGGCGGCATTCAATGCATTCATAATAGCAGTAAAACGTTTGATTCAACATAAGCCGAAACTTATTTGTACAATGACTCTATAATCGTCAGGGAGAAAAACCTCACAATATAGTAACGTGTGAATTGATATGATCGACAAGACATTGTGAATGTAGATGTAGGCTCTAATAGTAATTTATTAATCATCATAGATCACATTTTTGTCTTTATTTACATACGATCTCAAGCTTAATTGGCTCTAAACAAATGAAGTGTTGTCTACAAGCGGTCTCGTGTGTTCTTCTTTTTTTCATTGGCTTCTGTTTGATATACTTATTTTCACATAACTCAAACGCAAAGGGATATTGCAACTTTTTTGACCAGAAAAAACGCCATCTAACGTCGTGCCCGTAAATTATTTTTCTGTACATTTAGATGGTAGAGCTTGAACCAAAGTTCGAAACTATGCATAATCTTGGAAAGAGCTTGATAAACTTGATCAAATACATATATTTTATGGTCGTTGCAATACTCCTATGCTCAAACGTAGTATTTTATGTCTTTGTATTCGTATCTCTTCTCAGAGACTGATTTTGAGTCACAGAACTGTCTCTTGATTTGTCTATTTTATGGCACTTTATGGCCTGGAGTGTTGACTTACTATTAAAATTTCGGCAAAATGTAAATGGTTATTGTCAGACTAGCGGCCAAATTAAATAGTTGTAAATATTTTTTCATTCCTTGAATCCGAAAAACGAAGACATTCCATTGATTGCACGCAATAAATATCAATATTGCACTGTAATGTATCAAACACGCCAAGGTGCTGTTACTAAAGTTTGAAATTCAAGGAGAAAAGATTGAGATTTTGTCAAACGAACAATATGGTGCAATTGAATCACATCTTATTACTTAACGGATGATTCAAATTATCGTTTTTATTCTTATCGATTTTCTATTGGTCAGTCAGCTCGTCATTGGATAGTCAGCCGGCCTGACTAGTGGTAAAATAAATATTGCTTATGTGAGAATGTGGACAGAGAAACTCCTTACAATGAATGCTTACTCTTGTATAGAGTATTTCATTTTTGATTAGACCCCTTTACCATCAAATACACATATTTTACTTAGACAACACACCTTTGTCGTTCTTTTGATTGGATTGTCTTAATTTGAATAGTCTGTGTTTGTAATTGAAAACCTTTCGAATGCGTTTTTTGTAGTCAACGTTATTTTATGTGTGTGTGGTTTTTTATTGCAGAACTCAGCCACAGTCGTCGGCATGCCAAGCAATGAAAGACAACCGATGCTGTTGGACAAGAGGCAAGGTTATCGGTGGATCATCAGTGAGTTTTTTTTAAAATGAAAATCGTTTTCGTAATTGTTGGAAATTACGAACTATTCAAGCAACGCGTTAGTAATTTTTTTGAAATCTTTTTTAGGTCCTCAATACCATGCTGTACGTTCGTGGCAACCGACGAGACTTTGACCAATGGGAAGCGTTGGGCAATCCAGGATGGAGTTACGAAGATGTTTTGCCATACTTCCGCAAATCGGAGGATCAACGAAATCCATACTTGGCTAAAAACCCACGATATCATGGAACAGGTGCGTTTGTGATCAAGACATGTTTGTTTAAATCTCCATTCATTTAAAGAGGGACATAGAAAAGTTTTTTTAGTTCTACAAAACGGGGCATTTATTCTTATCGGTTCATTTGGAAAATCATCAATTTTCTTCATTTTATTACTGTTTTTGTCAACAAAAGCTATATTCAAATTTCTTTCGTAGGCGGCTACCTCACTGTTCAAGATTCTCCGTATAATACACCATTGGGAACGGCCTTTTTACAAGCGGGTGAAGAACTAGGCTATGACATCGTCGATATAAATGGTGAACAACAAACTGGATTTGCCTTTTATCAATTCACAATGCGCCGTGGTGCTCGTTGCAGTGATGCCAAGGCATTCTTGCGGCCAGTTCGTCTGCGAAAAAATTTGCACGTTGCACTCTATGCACATGTGACCAAAGTGATTTTCGATGAAGAATCGAAACGAGCTCTCGGCGTTGAGTTCATTCGAAATGGAGTGAAGCAGGCGGTTTATGCGAAACGTGAAGTAATTTTATCAGCTGGCGCAATCAACAGGTACTGAATTATTAATTTCGAATCGACATATTTATACCGTTATTGAAACAAATATTGTGTTTATTTCTAAAAAAAATGTATGAAGTCCTCATTTGTTAATGCTGTCGGGCATTGGACCAAGAGCTGATTTGGAAAAAGTCGGCATTCCCGTGATTCACGATGCACCGGGTGTTGGACGCAATTTGCAAGATCACATTGCTATCGGTGGTTTGGCATTTAGAATCGATCCGAAAGTCAGTTTCCTGTTCAATCGAATGTTCAATATGAATTCGGCCGTTCGATATGCCATCACCGAAGATGGACCATTGACCAGTAGCGTTGGCTTGGAAGTTACCTCATTTATTAATACAAAATATGCAAATCATTCCGATGATTGGCCAGATATGAATCTATTTTTCACTAGTGGTTCAACACCATCCGATCCACAAGTCAAAAATGCGCATGGTCTTAAACCGGAATTCTACGAGGAAATATATAAGGAATTGGAATACAAAGATGTTTATGGCATTTTCCCAATGATATTGAGACCAAGAAGCCGTAAGTGAAGTTTGACATGATTCTTTTTATTCTGAAAAAAAAAAACGGAAAATAAGTTTGGTGTTTGGCTCATTTCAGGTGGTTTCGTTAAGATTGTTTCAAAGAATCCACTTCGATATCCATTGCTGTATCATAACTACTTGACACATCCAGACGATGTGCACGTGATGAGAGAAGGAGTGAAGGCAGCCATTGCCGTTTCCGAAACACAAGCATTGAGACGATTTGGATCACGCTTTCATTCGAAGCCATTGCCAAATTGCAAACATTTGGAACTCATGACCGACGAGTACTGGGAGTGTGTCAGTGAGTTTTTACACAATTTCATTAGAATATCTCATTTGCCTTTTAGATTCATTTGATGACAGAAAATTAATTTTTTCTCTGCATTTCAGTAAAACAATACACAATGACCATCTATCACTATTCATGTACGGCTCAAATGGGTCCGCCTACTAATCCATGGGCTGTCGTCGATCCACAACTCCGGGTTTATGGTGTGAGCGGACTTCGTGTAATCGATGCTAGCATCAGTGAGTATTTTACCACTAGATCTGTTGGTGAAACGGAGTACGAATTTAATCAATTTTTCTATCTTTCCAGTGCCAACGATTACAAGTGGGAATATCCATGCACCAGTCGTGATGATAGGCGAGAAAGGAGCGGATTTAATCAAGGAGCTGTGGTTACAAGAAGAAGTTATTCGTGCCGAACGATCAGCAAAAGCAGCGCATGTTGCAGAAGTAATAGAAACAGTCGCAGCAGCTACGAGTGCGAGAAAAGTTACCACCTTATATGCAAATGCAACGGCTGCCTAAACGAAAGACACAGAGCTGTAGACATTATTAATGAATTTTATTTAATTGTGGTAGTTAAGGAGAAACTAGCCAACTTTTATAATCAATTGACTGCAAACAAGAGATTTTTATGCACTCGAACGATTTATTTATACATGACAATTGACGTGGTTTATCACCAGTGAAACTTGAAAACGGGATACATTTTAACGATAGGACTACACTACAAAGAGATTTGAACAATGAAGGTGGACGTTGTTACAACCCATCCTTGACTAAAGTCAATTATGTAATTAATTACAATTTAGATTAAGTCTATACGAATTCATTTGAATTTTGTATATAATAATCAAGGAACAAATGATTGCCCTATTTTAGCAATGTAGTGTCCTTTTGTGTACATATTCGTCCCATCGAATTGATTCGTTTTTGTTTTTATTTTTTTAATGAATTTTGTTTAATAAACCGAAAGAAGAAGTCGTTTTTATTGAAAAATGTTTTCAAATTTATATGAAAAATGAAGGTTCATTTTGAAGAAAAGAAACGAAGAGGAAAATTTAAAGAGGAAAGATGTAGAATAAAAAAAAATAATTCAAATTAAAAATAGGTGGAGTATTTTATAAGTTCGCCATTGTGTTCGTTGTGGCCAATGAATGCAACGGAAGAAAATGTTCCGGAAGAAGATTTTATGATGATCGTGACCATTAATCAAACCGCCCAAATGTAGATAATGCCTTAAGAAGCGCGGTCAACTTTAGTCGTGCTCTCTCTTCATGTTTCGATGGTCGTTCACATTTGTAATGTAAACAACATTTTTATCACAATCACATGCCGCTTCATAATTGAATTGTCCCTTAGCGAAAATACTCTTCATTTTTGCCCTTTTGGAAATGAAATTTTTCTATGTAAATGGATGAAGATTGGTTTTAATTTAAAAAACATGGTAGTAATTTGAACGTTGCTTGAGATAAATTGATGGACAAAATGCCTTATTTTACTCTTTTTGAGAAAAAAAAACGTTGCCCCCGAGCTGCAAACTAAATTTCAAATTCAAGCCATTTCTCAGAAACTCAATTCAGCCTTGACTTATGAATTTACATCGAGTTTCATGTTCGAATCCCAACTTGCAATACGCACATTGGCTGTCAAACATAAATAAAATTGAATAATAGCAATAATAACGAAAATAATATATTTAATTGATCTTTTTGTTCGGTTGTGTATTTTTGCTCATTTTGACACAAAACGAGGCACAAACACAACTAAATTAAAATGGCACACTATAAATGCCTACTTTCATATGTTAATGGTATTGGCCGAAGACAAGGCCAAATACTGGAGCATGAATGATATAGGGTCAATCTTTGAAGGGCAATTTACAGTCTTTGGAGTGATCGGATCAGGTTTTTGTTGTATGAGACATATAGTCAACTTTTCCCGAGCAATCCAAATATGTGATTAGTTTTGGGCGGTAAATTGAATTTCAACCCCAAATTAGGGTATTTTTGATTTTTTTTTCAATTTTTACCTCCCACGCACCCCAGACTTGAAGGGCAGCCCCAACCAAAGTGACAATCGATTCTTGACATCAGCATAAATACTTCGTCCATACATAGTTTCCTTCTAAAATGACTCTTTATTCATGAAAAATCCATGTTTAGCGAAAACTACCCCAAATCCAGTACTAACTTTGTATCCCAATAAAACCCCCCGCCCACAACTTAGGGCCGTGAAACCCATATATTATTGTTATACTCGCTGCCCCCTATCCATTGGTACCGGTCTCATTGCTAGACGCCATATGGCCCAAAACGGGACACAGTTCTTTTCAAACCTGAAATTAATTTCTAATTTCTGAGGTTTTCTAATTCTCGGGTTTCTAATTTGCGGGGGCGCACTGTACATACAAAATAGTGAAAACAATGGAAAAAAAATTATTCAGGTGCTCAGCACCCTCGTGAATTTTGGTCTCGCTACGGGCCTGATCTTGATGTACCTTTCCCAGTATCAAAAATATGGAAACACTCAATCGTAAACACGTAACAGATGTAATTCGAAGCTGAAATCTCACAAGATTTATTGTCATAACATGAGCCAATCAAACGACGTGATGACATCAGATAATGGAGAAATCAGTCGATTTTGACGTATTCTGTCCTAGGTATTTATATTTGGAAATACTTCATTAAAAATTCACCGCCTTTGAACGGGCATTATTCAAACGTCTGTATAACGTAAACCGTACGTCAGATTACATTGTTTCAGTCCGTGTCCGCTATATTTGTGTCTTTCGCACAAAAAAAATTTGATAAAATAAATTATTTTCTTCAAAAATTAGACACATTTTTGACACTTTTTCACAATGGATTTGATTGTTCTCTGATTTATGTCTATCGCATGGGGAATCCAGCATTTTGAATACTTTCTTTCGTTACTATTGCCAAAAATCAATCAGAATCAGTACTTCCAGCTTTAGGAAAAGTTCATGCACTGAGGGTCAAAAGTGGAATGACCTGTTTACCACCGCGATAGTCTCGATCAATGAACGTCAAACCAGCAACGCCACACATTTTGACGGGAACTACATTGATGAGTGTATTCAATGCAGTGTCAAACATAGTCGTCATTGTGTTGTGTGGTAAAATAATGATTATTATTTGAATTTTAAATAAATAAAATTGTTTCGATTCTGCCAAATGAAATTGTGCAAATATTCCGCTGGCACACAAGACAAAAAATTGCTTTCTTTCGGTAGATTAAACCCGTATTTAAAAAAAATTGATTTTCTTCCATTTTCAATTGAGTTGTATGAGAGAAAATTAAGGTTTTATATGATATATTGGAGTTTCCATATTTTAAAAAAACACAAAATGTTAGATTCAAAATAGAAACTGGTTCGTGACAGAATTGTTTTTTTTAATTTTTGCGGACCATACTGAGAAAACGTTTGCGTTCGAATAGAAAACTACACTGAAACAGAATTTGATTTGACATTGGCTGTGATGATGAACAAGTGCGTTTGTAAAGTGAGCGCGTTCACTCCGTGTCAGCAGGTTTTGGACGAATTTCATTTTGCAAATGATGTTGTTGTTAGTGTAATGATACATTAACAGGTTGATCTTTCCACCTACATTTTGTATGGAAACTGTCTGTTTTTGAATATTCAACAGCGCACTTTTACCCTGACTCACCGTCCCTGAATGTGTACGAATTTCATGATGAAATAGTTGTCTCTGACGTCCATTGTACATTTGATTTGGAATAACGTCAAAAGTAATTAAATTATTCCTCAAATTCCTTAATTCGCTAAATTGTCTGTATTTGCGTTTCTTGTGTATTTTCTTCTGGGACATGTGACACGTATTTGTTGTGACACGTAACTTTTTATAAACTTTCGTTCGTTTATTTCGGAAGAAAAAGTCTGATATTGTTGAAAGAGTATAGTTTTAGCTAATTTTATTATAAATAAATATCATGTGTCGAAAAATCTATGAAATAGGTGGACTTATCAACAAATTTTAATTGAATGGACTTATTGTAACTTTAGATAGTATTTCTTTTCTGTATATCAAAATATTATTCGATGTTTCGAATTTTACTTTAGATTAATCTATATTGATTAAGTCGAATCAAAAATAAATGTTTTTTTTTTCTCTCTAAATAAGTTTAGATATCTATATACAGGTCGTTATTTCGAAATCAACAGTGCTAATAATATCGCTCAATGCATTATCGCAAACGTCGTGTTTTATTTGAATGTCGTTGAATAATCAATTGACTATGTATATTTTCGAAAAATCCGATGTCACTCTCCTTAAATAATATTAGTAGTGTTTTGATGTTAGACTAAATCAATTGATTGAATTTAATCGGAAATTCATGAACATTGTATAAATTGGCAAATAATGGAGATGCTCATCTGCGTATTGTATGGTTATTTACAAAATTTATAAATTCAATAAAATCAGGGCCGTAGCGTGGTCAAAAATGTCAATTAGGAATCAGCCTCATAGATCAATTTATGCATTAGTATCTGGGCATAAGCCCATTTACGGTTGAAAAATTACGGAAATTTGATCGTAAATATGTGTTGCAGTCTGAAGCCTAGATGGGACTGAGCTCCGAACGCTTGTATAGACGCTACAACCCTGATTTAAACTAAACTCTCCATCATATCGCCTATTAAATCATGGCAATGGTGAATTTTCTACATATTTATTTGCACGATCAGTGCGTTGAACTCGCTTGATTAAACAATTGTGTGTATGTGTGTGTATTGGTTTGTTCCGTGTATTTGATTTATCCATTTGGCAACTCTATCGATTTGGATGGATTTGTTGATTTGGCATTGACTATGTTTTCATTTCCATTGTTACTCGTTCAACACATAGGCTCCTCCCCGATCTCGTCTATAGGTCTGCAAATTGAATCATTTAATTGGTACCATTTTGTGAATTGTTTTCTTCCATGATGTCGAACTTACTCATTGTTTCTTGCTGTTGTAATTCGACTTTGTAGCTGGGATTGTCATAAGACACATCATTCTTTCGTGGTGGTGTGATTGAGGCCGATTGACCACGTCTTCGTGTTACTATCAATAGCAACACAAGCGTAGACATCAATGATATCGCTGCAATCACAGATACAATCACCAATGGACCGTAGTAGTTGCCGGTCATGCCCGCTTGATTCAATTCACCATCCGAAGAAAGTTTTCCTATAGGAGTAAAGAGCACAGTGTTATATTTGGATGTGCAAATAATTTAAAAATTAAAGTAAAATTTGTTCCAATTTGTATAAAACGTACCAGTTTTTCCTAGAACGCCTGGTTTTGTCGTGAAATCAACAACATTACTTTTCTTGATTTTACCGTTGGTGAGATACATTTCAAGCCAAAGTTGATAACGAACACCTGGTTTTAGATCAGCTATCAAAGTTCCAGTTGTTGAATCATGTTTGGCGACCTTGAACACACTGAAAAAAAAAAGAAAACCAAATTGAGAAATCGACCATTTGTAGCGTCTTGATGATATTTATACCTTGAATCTTCTTTTCCACTGTCACTTTGAACTATTGTGCGATAAATATTGACAAACTTGTCTTCCGGATACGGAACTCCGCTCCAAAGCACTTCGACGCTGCCCATTTTGATCTTGGTGACATTAACATTTACATCGAATCCATATACATCTACAATTGGAGCAGTTCTTAATTGAAGCATTTCACCTGCACGTAATTCGGCACCATGGCCAGGGAATGGAATAAAGTACAATCCAAATTCATATGCAGTTTCTGCTTTCAAATTTTCAATTGTGAACGAAGCGATGGTCCGATGAATCAATGGTGTAGCATCATAAATAATTCCACCAACTTCTTTGTAACGAATCTGAATTCCATCCACATAAACCAGTTCCTCTTCGTTGAGCTTGCGCCAAGATAAACGAATCCACGTGGAATTAACTTCATTTGGACGAAGCTCTGGATCTTGAATGTTCTTCAAAATATCAGCCATATTTCCACTGCCGATAACCGGTTGCTGTGGTTCATAGCTATCGATGAGAGTTGGTGGTGTAATGACAGCTTCAGATGGCGTTTGCACACGATAAACTTTGCTCGCAGGCTGTGAATGGATGTCGTTCAACAATAATGTGATTTTTACACGATATTCCGAGTTTGGCTCAAGATTTCCAAGCTCGAATTCGAGTTGAGATGTTGCAATCAAATCATCTGGCGGTGCAAAAATTTGTGGTTGCCACGTGGAGGTGTCATTATTTCTGAAAATGGGATATTATTTAGGGTTTTTAATGCTTGGTATTTCTTAAAGTTGTGGAAAACCCGAATCTGATGTTTGACTCATAGTTTATCAATGTTTTATTTTAGTTTTCTCACCTTCCTTTGGTGTAGCGAATTTCAACGCGTCCGTGTAATCCAACAAAAATCTGTGGAACATTGAATACAACACGGACTGTACGGCTGTTAATTGGCTCCAGTGCAATGACTTGAAGATCCGATGAAAGTCCAAATCCAGCTGAAACCAAAATCGAAATTCCAAAAAATAATCATACATCAATCAAAACACAAGCGCAAGCATAGGTGTTAATTTTTGTAATAATTATTCGTTTTTTTATTCACTTATTACTTTTGTTATATTTATTCATTTATTCGTTATTCGTTCTTATTCGCGAATAAGAACGAATAATTATTCATTTATTCGTGAATAAGTTGTAATAGTTATTACTTCTTACAACTTCTTTTTCAATTTTCATTCGTTTTCTTATTCGTTTCTTATTCACTTCTTATTCGTTTCTTATTCACTTCTTATTCGTTTCATATATTATTCAATTTTTATTACATTTCTTATTCGTTTCTTGCATGAATAAATGAATAATTATTCGTTCTTATTCGCGAGTAAGAACGAATAACGAATAAATGAATAATCACATAAAATGAATAAGTAATAAAATCTTTTATTACTTATTATTTATTCGTTACACCTATGAGCGCAAGAAGCTTTCAATTTTAAGCACTGTAAGCATGAGAATGACTGTAATTTATCGAAATGGAATGAACCACACACATAGCAAAAACTCGCAATAAATGTTCATCCTCGAATCAAGTGAATTTCAAAGGATTTTTAAATTACCTGGTTGAACGGGGATATTCTGATTTGATTCGTTTGGAATGTGTAACGAGGGACGCTGTCCGATTCCAAATGGATAGGTTATTCCATTTTGTGTTTGATGTACACCAAACGGTGACTGTTGTTGGCCACCAACATCCACGCCAGACCCGCCATTTTCGCCTTGGAATTGTTGTAAAATGTGTTCGATATGCAAATTAGGTGGTAGATTCTGTGCGTTACCGCCGAGAATGTTGATCAATTCATGTTTTCCATTACCGTGCTGTATGATATATGGATTGAATTGATCGGGTTTCTGTGGTTTGTTGTGTGGCGGTGGCAAGCGATGATAGTTGTCGCCGTTGAAATCGTAATCGGAGTATTGATGTTTGGTCAATGATGGATTGAAGAAACCAGGTCCAGGTGAAATAGGTTTTTTATCATCTTCTTCTTCATCATCAACATCATCGTAATTATCAAAGTTATCGTATTTCGATGGTGGCTCGTGTTTTGACGGCGCCTGTGAGCCACCTTTTGTTGGTTTAGCTGGCATTTGAACGCCTTTGTTTGGTTGACCAATGTTCGTTGGATACAATGGATGAATGCCATTCTCCTCTTTGTGATCATTATTTTCATTTGGTTTTATGTGCATAAATGGGTTATCGATTGTCGGTGAAATATGTGGTATGGATGTTGAATCTATATTTTTTGTAATGCGCAATAAAAATGTTTGTGAGAAAAAAAGCGAAATTGTCAAAGCAAGAATTGATTGTATTTAAATAAAAAAAACTAACCTTTTTTCGATGCATCCACACATGCCCAATGTTTACAACATTCATCGTCTGGAATTGGAACGATTTTGGGTACTTGTTTTGCATTGCATTTCAAATGCTTCGGGGGCTTAGCAGGCACTGAACAAGACGGCCGGCACTCGACTTTTCCTCGTTCACAGAAACAGTGCTGTTCACATCCAGTCAAATTCGATGGAATATCACTCCAATTGTCAAAATATTGCCCCCTATATTCGCATGTTCCATTATCGATGCAACGCATTCTCTCTATTTTCACAGAATAAAAGCAAAATTTTGAATAATGAAAACATATTAAGCGTAAAAAATTATTTAAAAAAAAAACGCAAATAGTTCAAATTACCTGGACAGCATTTTGGAACGATGGCCCGGAATGTGGCTGGCTCTGGTGCCCATTCCAAACAATGTGGATCCATAATTTCCAATCCGAATGTTGAAGGGCATTGAATTTTTTCGCAATGAACACCCTCAGCCATGCAAATACACAATGATTCGCAATCCTCGTTAAATTGCTGACCTAAAGCGGAAATGAACATTGGCTTCAAAATCGATTTTTGACACTATCAAATTTCGTTTCTCCCACACTGACAGTCTTGACTTAATTGAGTGCGCGTTGCAATTGGAGAGAACGAGATAGTGTTTCGCAGTGCAATGAGTGTCGTTCTAGATTACTGAAATCCAAAGAAGGATGGAGACAAAATTCGTTTACATACCAATTTTGTACTTGCTGCCATTATATTCACAATCGTATTTCTCATTTGGATCATGTTCAGCTGTATCTGCAGCAACAGAAGGAATTGAGCTAGCAGAGGTCGATGCACGTTCTTTGTAGTCGCTACTCGATAAGTTTATTGTTCGATTTCCTTTCTTCATTTTCATCGCATCAAATGACGGTGGTGCTGGCACAATAGCGATTGCACTGCCTTGGTCGTGATCATCTAATGTGACATCACATAATTCAATGTGACAGCACAAATCCTTTGGATCTGGAACGATGACACATTGCTCATGGGTTGCAGTTGTATGATTCATTTTTGGGCAACGTGGTTCACATTCGACTGTAACTGACGATGCAATGCATTTGCAAATGCGTTCACAACCATCCTCGATTTTTTCATTAATGGCATACTTTTTCCCTTTGAAAACACAATAATCACCACTCTCTGGTGGTGTTTCTGTTTCTGTCACGTCTCCTGTTGCTTTCGTCGGTGCTGGTACCACTTCAAAGGCAGTTGGTACTGCTTTAATTGAACCTGTTTCAAAGAAAAATCAGTCAATACAATCAAAAACCATTAAAATTCATCAAGACCATTACATGATTTCCATGCAAAGCGCCAATGTTTCGCTGATTCACTTTTCGAACACAGCTTTTTTTCACATTGTACAGCGCATTTCGAGCAGGGCATGAATGCTAAAACTTAAAATGAACAAATACAAACCTGAGTCATGGAATAGTGATGGAGATGATTTGTCATCAGCATTGTTACAGTCATCCTGTAAAGAACAAAAAAGAATACTTTCTAAGAAAAGATTTCTTGTTGAAGTCTAAAAATTCGTTAAAATTCAAAAGAGAATGCAAAGAAAATGTGATCGAAAAGTGAGCAAATCAACAAGGGCAATATCAATTGTTTTTAAATCAATTTTACACAGACCATAATAGTTGACCATCTTCAGCTACTTACTTTAGATTTACATTTTGTGTCATGATTCAGTGAAGTTTGTGTTGTAGCTACCATATGTTCGCTGCTGTTCAAATCCATGCCATCATTGTCCATGCTAACGTCACTTAAGTCATCGCTGAATGACTTGGAATGCATTGGTTTATTCTGGACAGGAGACACTGTTACGTAAATGACACCAGCGGATTTCGGCTGCTTACTCTCCGTGCTGCTTAGGTTCAAAGCACGTCCTCGAATTGATTCAATATCATCCTTGGATACCACTCGACTTCGATCGTTTGGCTTGACAATACTTGAGTTAACCGAGCCACTAAGTGCATCCGATTTAATTTGCTTTTGTGTCTCGGTAACTGCATCGACTGACACTGTTGTGACAGCAGTATCACTCGAATGTTCTCCTCGTTCAATTTCCACGGTCGTTTCATCGCTGTTTTCTCCATTATTGTTTTGTTCTTGCACATTTTTTGTTGTCGCATCAATTGACGCTTCAGTTTCTGTAATTACACCAATCGTACTTCTTTCTTCTTCATTAATATTGTTGACGCTTTGAGAAAGACCGCTTGAAATAGTCGTATATTTTTCGCTGGACTGAGGAGGGGCCAATGTTGTAGCGCTTGAAAGAGATGTTAACTTTGCCATTGCAGCAATGGTACTGTGCTCTTCTTTATCATTTTTCATCGACGTTGATGATATCTCCAAACTTTCGGTGGTCGTCTTTATCCCATCGAATTTATTAGTATCTAATATTGAAATAAATAATGACTTTAATGAAAGTTCAATTCTCAATAAACATAAGAAAAAAACAAGCGAGAAAATTCAATAAGGTGTTAAGGTACGAGCGCAACCTATGCATAAAAGTGTTATGATAACACTAACAAAACAAAGTAAAACACGAAGTTGCCATGAGCTCATTCAGTGAAGTTCATTTCAATTCGTTTACATCGTTAGACGTACTCATGAACGCGACTGAATGAACTCATCAACAATGATCTGTGATAAAAAAAACAATTTTTTAATAAAAACAAAGTCCAAAGGAAATGATGGACTAGGTATTAAAATATGATGTTAAGACAACGCATTTACATGCTTGGACTTGATTGAAATATTGCTAAAAAGAGAAATTGAAAAATATATAGTAGTGAAGGGCGATATGAAGTACGCCGATACTGTTATAATGGTGCAAAGTGCAGCGCTGGGCATTTTGCATGAAGTTTATTTGAAAAGACTTGATCGCCTCGAAGTGCGATGCTCGAGATATAATGTAATTTGGTATGCGATCATGTTGGTAACTCCATCAAACCAGAAAAAAATCGTAAAAAAAAGAAGCCGTTCATGGTATTCGTAGCATAACCACATTAATTACCAATCTCGAAAAAAAACTTGCTTTAGAAAAGTCAATTTTTAATAACAATGTATTAGTTTAGCACAAACTTTAGTTGATAACTATCAATAATTTTTAATCACAGCACACTATAACACTATAGTGCCAGATTGAATAATATTAAACATATTCATTCACAATAAGAAGCAATGCAACCAAAAAAAGTTTGTCTCCATGGGCAACTTGTGATATAAAGTTAGTTTTTTTTCTGAAGCACAAAATAATGTTAATGCTTTTTGCAATGTTCTCGAATCAACGTAGAAATTGATGGAAATTATGTAAGTGGAAGCAAGTGAAAAAAAAATGGTTGAACCGGCAATCGTTTGGAGATAATGTGAAACTAAAAATTTGTTAAAATAAGCAAATACCAAAAACTGGTTTACTAACCTTCGTTGTTTCTATCTATACTATCCAGCTTTGGTTCATTATTTCCGACAACGAATCCCAATAAAAGTAATCCGGAACAAACGAAAAACTTCAAGCCTTTTCTGAACATTTTGATATTGGTTCTTCATACACACGCTCACACATCAATCTCACTGCTTTAAATTATTTTGATCTATTCTTGTTTTTTTTTTATGCACAAACTTTTAAGGCTTTTGTTATTTCACTGAATATACGCTTTAAAAAAAAGTCACACTACTATACTTTTTTACGTTTTTTTATTTTCATAATATTCTATCGGTTTTTTCTGTTGGCTTCAACTCATGTACATGATAGAACTACAACGAATTTTCGCTTGATAACTGTTTTTGTTACTATAGTTTTCGTATTCCGTTAGTAGTCCGAATCACGACATTTTTTCTTTCGATGAAACAAATCAAAGCAACTCAATATTTGCCGAGTTTTTATTTTCTTCACTTCAAATTGATTTATTCACGGTCAGTACTAAGAAGATTTTCTTTCACATTTTTCACTTCATACCACATCAATTTGTTTCAATGGACTCACAAAGCCATATCTATTGTCCACCAAACTGCTTGGACAATGTACACAGTTTCATTCACCATTTGTTTTTAACATCAAATAAAAAAAATCAAATTTAGACAGCACAACTTGTTTTTAAGCTCATTTTCATAAAATAATCAAGTCTTGACAATCGAACGTAGTTATACAGTGTCGCATTTACTCAATTCTCCTTTTTTTATCATTTATCAGAACACACATTTAACTGGAACCATAAAATGAATGACTTAGTTCAATTCGAAGTTATATCCTGAAATGAAAAGAAACAGTTAGCATCAAATATGGAAAAAAGGCCTATATTGAGTTTAAAACCGAATTAAAACAGGCTGTGTTATAAGCTGAGCACATGAATTTAGTGGCTGAAACGTATGCGATGCGTTATTGTAATGCATTTGTGGTACAAAATTCATATTCACTTCCAGATTGGCCAAGACAAATTTATGGCGAAACCACAACGCAACCAACAACTACTGTTCAAAAGTGCTGGCCAGACAGCAAATGCAACGCTCTGCTGAATTTCATACCGATAAAATTACATGCCATTCGCGAATTTTCATAATTGCTGAAATATATAACACATGAACCGGGATCACAATAATTAACATATGACGATGTTGTTTCCGTGCCATTTTTTTCGTTTCCGTCTTGAGTTCAGCTTGTAAATTATGGGGATTTAAAAGAAAATCTACGAAAAATTCACACCTTCATTTCCTACGGTTGTTAATCGAAAACCAAAACGAAGAGTAAAATTTGACAGACACGTAAAATGGGCTGGTTATTAATGTTGAGAGGAAAATGTAAAAATTTTGGAAAAAAATGATGATCCATAGTGTCGAAAATGAATTTTTCGGGCGCTGTTTTGTCCGTTACATCTCTGGATGTAGGTGTGCCGGTAGACGTAACACGGTACACAAACAGTGATGTGTTCCATACTCGATTATGGAAGAGATGTAAATCTGTGTATGTGTGCGCTCGCCGGAGCCGCCGAAGACAAAGATAAAGCCATTGACACCGTACACATCATCTCTCTCTCTCTCTCTCTCTCTTTCGATGTATTACTCGTTAAACTTACTACAAGCAACTACTTGTAAATGGAAGCATGAAGCACAAGAAAATACGACGATTGGAACAAAAACGCGAATAATAAATAATAAAAATGTCAAAGAAATGGAATTTTGTAACTGATCTTCTTTGAATACATGTCAAGATAATGGCATATATGTATAACCCATTTGGCATTATCGACTCTCACATTGTATTGAAGAGAAAATGATCTAGTGGCAATACAGCACTTAAACAAATACATGTATGACAGCAACAATGAATGTGCGCAAAAAATTAGAAATGGAGTGAAAATATTGTTCAAATACCGTGAAGAAAAGAAATATTCATACAATGACATTCATTTCGGCAGGTATGATTTGCTGCGGGTATGGTACATACAAAATTTTATTTCATTTATTTCTCCAGGTATCCATTATGTAAGATGGTTTTTTTTTCACATTTTCATGGATAAATTCGTATTATTTCATGGAACAAGTGTCTTGAATGGATATTTTTTGGCGATTGAATCGGTCGCGACGGATGTACCTACAGCTTACAGTGCATATCGGCCATTCCACACGAAATCAGGGAAGAGTTGCAATGTGAGGTCGCCGAATTGGCTGAAAATTGGCTTGGAGTCTTGTTTCCGATAGAAAAAAAGAAAACCAAAATCTCAGGCCTAAAAGTGGCCCGCCTTTCTGAGTTAACCCAGTGTGAATTTTTGGAAAAATTGAAAAAATCGAAAAAAGGGTTTGCGCCAACTAAAAACTAACTAAGAAGTAGTTGACATATTACCAAACCATTGGTACCGTTGGAAAGGGAATTGATGGGGCTACAAAAGCCGCTTAGTAACTTATCCTCTATGGCCCCATTGGAACCTCCAAAAATGGGTTCAAAGTATAAAATGTTAAATATCTCAAAATAGTGGGTTTTTTTTGACAGATGGAAAAATAAAATTTCGTGTATACCCCCCCATTCAGTTCGTGTATCTGGCTTCGGCAGGTGAATCATATGACATTTTTCAGCGTTTTTGTGGGAAAAATGGTCAAAAATGGCCTCTCACGACATTTGATATGAAAAAACTGCTATTTTTTCGTCAAAATACCTGAAAAAACGACCTTTTCCACATCGGTTTACCTATAAATTTGGTCCGAAACTGACTTTTCTTCATAGAACAAACGAATGGTCGAAATCTGCTTAGAAAATCACATTTGTGGCATAGAAAACCCACCTGTAATGGGCTGTCATGATTCTATTTCCACGTAATTTTTGACGGAAAATCGATTGAGACTTATCTCAATCCTGTCTGATGGGTCTAAAAGGTCGAAAAATGACCCTGCTTCAGGGGATGTTTTCAATTCGCAAAAAAAACACTTTTTTTGCCTCAAAAATTCCCTATTCTGCATTCAATCGTGATTGGCTTTTATTTTCCAGCGAAACAAATGAAAATATACCAATTTGCTTACCATTTGGGCTCAATTCAGCATTTTATATGTAAAATCTCCATTTTGAGTGATTTTTTCGATGCCAAAGTCGATTTGAGACCAAAATACAACAAAATGGGTGTTTGATTGTTCACAGGCCTCCATTATTTTCGAAAATAAATAGGAGTTTTCTAACGTAAAATTATCGAATTACGCAAATTTAAGATACCTCCCCTACAAAATGACCGTTTTTTAGAAAAATTTCTATATAAAACGCTGAATTGGGCCAAAAATGGTAAGCAAACTGGTATATTTTCATTTGTTTCGCTGGAAAATAAAAGCCAATCACGATTGAATGCAGAATAGGGAATTTTTGAGGCAAAAAAAGTGTTTTTATTGCGAATTGAAAACATCCCCTGAAGCAGGGTCATTTTTCGACCTTTTAGACCCATCAGACAGGATTGAGATAAGTCTCAATCGATTTTCCGTCAAAAATTACGTGGAAATAGAATCATGACAGCCCATTATAGGTGGGTTTTCTATGCCACAAATGTGATTTTCTAAGCAGATTTCGACCATTCGTTTGTTCTATGAAGAAAAGTCAGTTTCGGACCAAATTTATAGGTAAACCGATGTGGAAAAGGTCGTTTTTTCAAGTATTTTGACGAAAAAATACCAGTTTTCTCATATCAAAATGTCGTGAGAGGCCATTTTCGACCATTTTTCCCACAAAAACGCTGAAAAATGTTATATGATTCACCTGCCGAGGCCAGATACACGAACTGAATGGGGGGGTATACACGAAATTTTATTTTTCCATCTGTCAAAAAAAACCCACTATTTTGAGATATTTAACATTTTATACTTTGAACCCATTTTTGGAGGTTCCAATGGGGCCATAGAGGATAAGTTACTAGGCGGCTTTTGTAGCCCCATCAATTCCCTTTCCAACGGTACCAATGGTTTGGTAATGTGTCAACTACTTCTTAGTTAGTTTTCAGTTGGCGCAAACCCTTTTTTCGATTTTTTCAATTTTTCCAAAAATTCACACTGGGTTAACTCAGAAAGGCGGGCTACTTTTAGGCCTGAGATTTTGGTTTTCTATTTTTCTATCGGAAACAAGACTCCAAGCCAATTTTCAGCCAATTCGGCGACCTCACATTGCAACTCTTCCCTGATTTCGTGTGGAATGGCCGATATGAGTCATTCGTGAATAAATTGAGTGCAAGGCAGCCAATTGACGTGGATGTCGGAATATGGCGTCATACTTCTATGGATTTGTGGGGGTTTTTCCTACATGTTTTCTTTCATAATCCATTCAACCTTTTGAAGTAAGTGATGCGGATGTCGTCTGGCCAACAAACAATTTCTATTTGCCCCCATTGAATCCCGCAATTTGCGTTGTACACGAATCGTGAAATTTAAAATATCGCACACATTTGATAATTGATGAACTTGAAAATGGAATGCGTGAATTTTAGGCGGCTTAGCCAGCACATTATCTGTAATCAATTATTCAACTGAGTACGCTATTTGTTAATCTAGTTGATCATTTTTCATCTTGATGCCATTATTCATTGAATTTATTCAAAAGTTTCTGTTTTTTCAATCGAATTGTAATGAATGTTTCGTGTTGTCTATAAGCGCATTCCACTTTAGAAAAAAAAATGAAAAATAGCACTGTAATGCTTTTATGTGTAGACACAGTGTAGTTCTTTGATGATCGATGAATAAAGAAAATGGATGAAAAGTGTTGCTTAATTGCCCACTTCCCAACCGTTGATTTAATTGTTGATAAAAAAGAAAACTAGAGTAACATCAAATCTCATAAACATTCTCCTAACGTTTCATCCGTGATTAATAAATTTGTATGGGTGAGAGAGTCTTTCAATTTCGAAAGTAAATATGCACGCCGTTCATAATACCGTTGTGCGAACGATGAGGCAAAATGGAACGGCAAAATGAAAGAATGAGAAATGAATACAGTGGAAGAAAACCTGAATGAATTTGACACAAAACTGAGAAAGAAATTTCACTTGACCACTGAACGATGCCACACATTCTGTGCTGCTGTGTGCGTGTGCCATTGCAATTTACACTGGTGAGAGTGCAGCAGCAGCCGCAGCAACTAGTGGCAATGGCTGCAGTTAATGTGTGTACAAATTAGTGCAACATTTACGAAATTGTACAATCATGAACACATTTATCAATTGCTTCAGCAAATCTTGTTTTTTTTTCCATTTCGAGCATTTCACTTTGGCGAAATTGATTGAAGTTACAAATTGATTTGTTACTGCACGGAAACTAAGCATCGACAGATAAATGCAATTTAAAACACGCACTAAATACTGGAAACGTGAATAAATTCCATTTTTTATTGGATTTTGTTGTTTCTTCTTCCGCGCGAAAACTAAGAAACACCGCAACGTAATATGGACCTGAAAATGAGATGTTCCATTTTTTTCATTTTTGGTCATTCAGAGAAATGTTTGGCGTATGAACGAATGTGTCAGAGAATTTGATGCTAAAATCGTGATCGGTATATTTATCTATATATGAACGGTACATATATAGAGAGAGAGGCGGCAATGCATACACACATTTTGCCTCATCATCCGCGCACAAAAAAAAAACGTTTTTATTCAAACACGAAACACTATGAATTATTATGGCGATATGTGAGTATGTCTGCTTCAAGTCACAAAATATTCTCTTGAATAATCTAACCCGTTCATTCAGGTTGCTTGCCTAAAGACGTATTATTCTTTTGTCTTTTTTGAAACTTTATCGAATGGATTTTTTTCAATTTTAATTCTCAATTTTTTGAATCTATTCCTGTATTTTTTTTCTGTTTTCTTTTCAAAAGAATAACTGAATCGGTAGCTTTAAATTTTGAATTTAATTAATAAGACACGACGAATTGTTTCAATTCTTGAGTATATATGTAGCACACACCATTTCAATATGGAATTTCCAAGTGTTGATGGAGAGTAAGAGGCAAAGTAGGTGCTGAACACCACAGCATACCGAAGAGAAAAAAGAAACAACAAAACTGAGTGTAACTACGCGTAAATACTGAACGAGACTAAAGTTGTTGGTTTAGTTTTGAAGCGAACAGTCGAACAAAATTGGAATGGAATATAAAAAAACAAGAGATTTCTTTTTTTTTCATGTATGAAGAAATAGCACACAGACAACAACATTCACTTTAGACTCTCTTGACGAAGCGTAAAAAAATACGGCAACACAAAACTACTAGTAATTGGCGTGTCTCTGTCTTTCTCTCTTTCGCATTCTCTTCTCCGAGGCTGTGACATGGCAATGTATGCGTATACATATGTGTTTGTGTTAAGCAGCAACAGTGGAAACGTAGCAGCAGCAGCAGCCGCAGCAGCAAAATAACAACAACAATAAAACGTAAAAGTTGAATCAAAATATTCCGAAATGGCCCAGGGAAGGAAAGAACAAAAAATGAACCAAAACAAAAATGTGATGAAAGAAATTGAATAAACTGAACACAAATACGCACACACTAAACTATAAAAATGTATACATGTGTAAGTATTTTTGAACAGCAATAGAAGGTGTATGTGTCTGATTCGAGAAGAAAAAAAAACAAACGTAAAATAGTTTCTGTAGATTGTGTGGATGAAGATTAAAGAAGAAAACAAGTTAACACAACAATGGGATTTATTCACAGGTACGATGGCGGCGGCAACGATTATAATCACGCGTATATGATCGTGTCTAATGCAACCGCATATTCACTCGTATACGAGCGAGACGACTATAGACGGCTTATTTCTGTGAGCTATTTCGGCGTATGTTTATAAAAATACCTAGAATGGGAGAAGAAGAAGAAAAACAATAACGACTCAGACGAACGTTGAAAGGTTTTTATTCTAAAACAAATCACATTCGAATGAAAGAAGAAATTTCATCATCATCATCATCATACCTCAACACAGGTAAATATGTCTATGGTAATAACAGTTGAAGACAAAAATATATACTAACTTCACTGTGCAATACTGCACAAATTTTTCGCTATGTTTTCTACTTTTCAGAACAATTCATAAGCGAAAAATTCGTCCACTGCCACCAGATCAAGCAGCGGCTATGATGAGTTTAATAGCGAGTTTGACTTGTGGTTCATGCGTTTGGTTCGCTTCATTGGCAAACAACGCATTTATTTAGTCACAGCATTGAGAATATTCATAAATGCAGGGGCCATTTCTTGCTATGGATTCATTTGCTTATCAAGCGGTTACGTTTCTTTCGATTTAACTTATGATTTTTCCAACAAAATGAGTTGAAAACACTTTTTGGGTTTTATCATAAAATGTCTTTTGATTGTTGATCGCCAAATTAACGATTGCCGTTAATTTAATTTTCAGATCGTTTAATTTTCAGATCGTGTGGCGTAGCAAGCGGCGTTACGATTGCTTTGAACTATTCTCTTCGTTTTATTGCCAAAAAATCCTGTTACAGTATGGAAACTACAGTCGCACTGCCAGGCGTTTCGTTATTTTTCTGTGTTGTTTGTGGCAGTGCCTTTGCTGTGACGTACTTCGCTTGAAGACATCGAACGACACTTTTCAGACAATTCAAATAAAATCACCGATCGGAAAATTCAGATGGAAAGAACTGAAACATCATTTAGCAAAAAATGGTTATGGAATTATAACAAAGACCTGGAAATCGATTACGAAAAATACTGAATATTGATCCAATTTACAAGATCGGGACTTAATTAAGTAATCTCAATTAGAATGAATGAAAAAAAGTTTAACTTTTATTCATAGAAAATTATTATCATTTCGGGCACTCAATTTTTGTAAGGTGCACGATCTTCTACACATAAAATATATAAGGAAGACATGCAACTGTACACGATCTTCCTTATATATTTTATGTGTAGAAGATCGTGTACAGTTGCAATCGTGCGCCTTGGAAATAGTGCCTTCAAGCGTTTTTCTATTCTGAATAAATGGTTACGGAATGATCTATTGGTCACAAAAATACATTTGGGCCTTAATGTGAGGCAAAATCATATGTGAGTATACTTAGTAAATATTTATTCCGATGTTTTAATTTAATTCATATTAATAAGCCCAACTTTAATCTCAATGCTTCCTCAAGTATTGATTATTCCATATGATATTTTGACATTAAAAACATCTGGAATAGTTATAATTAATGTGCACAGATTTTCTTCACGAAAAACGAGGACGTTTTTTCGATTTTGATAAAATAGGGGACGTTTTCAATTTTTAGAATTTCATGAATAGGGTACTGAATTTTGATTATTATCATTCACTTCTTAGGAAGAACTGTCACAAGTGTTTCGAAGATCGAAACATATTTCAACGATATTTTATCGACTGTTTTGATTATTATCGCAGAGAGTAAAATAAGAAATTTTTCTTACTACCGAAATTTTTATTTGAAGTGTTGGATGAATATTTGATTTTTGGTTGGACCTTATAGAGATCATTCTTCACTTTTAACTTTTAATTTGTCGCGATCAATTGTTCCATTGTAATGACGCGCGCCAATGTTTGAATCTCTCCATCGTAACACAGAATTGGTATAACGAATGGTTTTTTTTTCAATTCTGACTTGTTCCCCAAAATATTAAAACTGTTTGCATTAATCGTGATAGTTCTTTCTTCTTTCTTCTTTCTCTTTCTCCCCCTGCGAATCCGATGTGTAGGAATCGGAGTTGTTTTTGTTTTAATTATATCACAGTGGAACAGCCCCAAAAGAACTTGACCGTGGCTATATGGGGATGAAAGTAGACCTATAGCTGAGTAAAATTCCAGCGGGGTTTTGTCGAATTGGCTGGGGTTTTAATTTTTTCGACTTAGGCGTTTTTTCTATAACATAGTTTTTCAGCGACATGAACTATGCCAAATTTTAGTCAATAAATCGTTCGTTTTTGGTGATTGCTCATTACTGTCTTTGGCAAAGTTGTAGCTGAGAGTCCAACAAACGAAATTCATCACATATTTACTCCGGAAAATTACAGTTGATTGATGCTATTGGACAAAATATCGAAAAAACGGACGATTTTTTCAATTTTTCGACCATAACTCGCAGCGTATCCATTTTTTGCGCTTTTGTCTTTGACAATTTTGTAGCCGACGTATAATTAAACAACTTTTCTTAACATATTAACCCACAAAAATCATGTTCTATCCAACTTTTGGATTCAAAATCACTCTTTGGTACCAGAAATGGTCAATTTATCGTGAATTTTGGCCAATTACATACAAATAACTGTACATTTTCCCATATTTTTCGCTTGGATTTTTGTTAACCTGTCTTTATGTGTAATGCAAACTAGTTTTTAAGTTAGTTTAGTGGAAAAAATCGCTGATTTGTGATAAAACTTCGAGTTTAGCTTTGGACAATTTTTGCTGCGTTTGGTGGACATTCGGCCAAATTAAGACATGACAACGACCATATTTTAGCCATTAACCTCATAACTATGTTTGTGGACTTTTTCATCCATGCCATCACAAAAAGTTGAAAAAAAACTACTTTTTTATTCTTTTCTTTCTGAAACTTCAGGAATGCTCCTTTGATCATTGAATCTATTATTTAGAAACAAAAATTGTTGAAAATGCGTTAATTCTTTTAATAAAATTAAAATTTGCATCATTGTACCCATAATCCTGTGTTATGGGACGAAAAAGTCCACATGTGTTTTCTAATCAATATATGTATTCTCACATATGATTTTTCTTCTGTTTTATATACTTGTGCTTTGGGGTCTTCTCGAATCAAAAAGTATAAAGTTGGAAGAGATTTCATGTATTTTCGAGTCTATTCGAAAACTTGCAAACACATCTCATAGGAAGTAAAAAAAACAAGATGTCTGCCAAAAGACATGACTGTCAAAAGAAGCTGCAACACATCGAACATTCGGATGGTTCAAAGAATAATTGCGGAGTTATTTGATATAAATGATTGCATCAATAATGATGATAATATTGTTTTTAATCGAATATTATACAAATTAATTTTTTTTTTTTTAAACTTAATTTCTCTATAAAAACCATAGGTGTTAATTTTTGTAATAATTATTCGTTTTTTTATTCACTTATTACTTTTGTCATATTTATTCATTTATTCGTTATTCGTTCTTATTCGCGAATAAGAACGAATAATTATTCATTTATTCGTGAATAAGTTGTAATAGTTATTACTTCTTACAACTTCTTTTTCAATTTTCATTCGTTTTCTTATTCGTTTCTTATATTATTCAATTTTTATTACATTTCTTATTCGTTTCTTGCATGAATAAATGAATAATTATTCGTTATTATTCGCGAGTAAGAACGAATAACGAATAAATGAATAATCACATAAAATGAATAAGTAATAAAATCTTTTATTACTTATTATTTATTCGTTACACCTATGATAAAAACACAGTGGACGAAAAATTCCACGAAAACAGTCATCGTTCTGTTTACCCGTGTTTGCTACTTTTACAATTGAATTCCGCTTCGTTCCATTTTTTTATTTGGGCAACTTAACTGACGTCCGAAGACTTATTGCAGAAGGTGTTAATGTTGATGCTGAAGATGAACGAAAATGGACACCACTTTATCGCGCAGCTGCTTTCTACGATCAGAATGATATTTTGAGTCATGTTGAGGATTTATTAAAAACTCAGATGTTTGATGGTCGATTGTTTAATCGATTTATTGGAATGTTGTGTTGACGGTTTTCAATCAAGCTTTAATATTGTTTGATTTGAAAATGAATTCCATTTTTTTCGATTTCCTGTTTCATGTAATCAACAACAAATATCCAGTGGTTGGGATTCAAAGTAGCGGATGCATCAATGCAATTCCAATTTTTGTCCCATGCCATGGTAATACTTCATATTAGTATGAAGTCACTGATCTATGGCCATTATTTTCTTATAAAAGTTAAAAATCCAAAAGGTAGCCAAAGACCATTTACAACTTACGGTTTTTGGTCAGTTTTCGAATCAGTTCCTCAATCTCTAACGATTTTCTCTAGCTTCGACTATTGTCAAAATTTTTGAAGCTAAGCAGACGTTTAATAAA